TCGTCTCAACGAGACGAACAGTTTGGTAATTGTTTCATCGAAAAAGGACCAGTGGATCAAAAAGTTATTCACTGTTAAATATTTTTGGAGTTTTCAATAGTAAATTCCATATGGTTATCGGTTATCAATTAACATTTATTATTTGGGTAGGTACCGATACATTTTAAGAGAGATGTACTGTACGTACGCGTAATTTAACAGAATTAGCCTATTTCAAGCTTCACAATAATTCCTTGGCAATTAACCTAACATGTAACTTGCTCAACAATGCACGCATGATAACGTGCTAGATAAACAGTTGATCAAATATATGATCAATATATTTTTTTAGGCAATTTATGAAAAGAAAATTAGATATGTAGTATTCCAAGGGATTCGGAAGTACAGTAACAATATATAATTCACATGTTAGATATATGTATTATTGTAAAATTAAAGTTTATCAAAGTATTAATTGCTTGTTCACAGACTACGTAGATGATTTGACACATTACACAACTTTAATTATATTTTTTTTTATATTATGTATTTTATAATTCTCGATAAAATTAAAATCTACGTAATAGAAGTGAAAACAATTCTCAAATTTGGGTTAAGTTAGCATTAACTCCTTTTGTTTTAAAGGGACAAATGTAATTACCAACAGTTCAAACGGTTCTAATTTTTATGATACGTAATTAACATCAAAAAAATCAGTAATCATATCAAAATTTTGACGTATAAAAAAAACCTCTGATGCAATAATTTCATAACATTCCTATATAAGGAGTTAGGAGTTATTACTAGAACATTCTCGCTCTCCCCAAGTAAGGTAAAAGCTATTAACTATAGTTAAACTCGAACGAAAAAAAAAAATCTCTAAATTTAGGGACTAAATAATCCTTCAGATTACTCTTTTAAATCAGCCTGTCTCAAGCATTACCCATCTATAATTCCTCTAACTCGTCGTCTAAATATAATAATACGATGTTGCTAAAATCTTGGATTTCTTCATTTTCAAGAAGTCTAAAATACTATTGTTCAAACCTTGAAAACTATTCTCTCGCGGACGACGATAATAATGATCAAAGAGATGGTAGAAATAATGATTTAGAAGGTAATATTCATCATTCTTCAATATTATTTGAACGATTAATATCTGAATTTGAGACTAATGGTCAAAATGTAAATATAGAAAACGAAAGTACTAGATTATTAAATCAACATGCTATAAGTGATTTAGAAGATGCAAAAGATTATCGTAGTTTGGTGAGTCTTGGAAAGTCAACGGTTACGCAAACGATGTTTAATGCAGTGGTACGTAAAAATATTTTTTTTATAATTATTATTATGATGAAAAATTTCAATTAATTTATAGTATTTCTTTTTTTTTCTAAAAGAACGTATTGGTGGGAATAGCGATATTGGCTTTACCTTATGCATTTAAATGTTCCGGATGGATAATTGGAATTTCGACATTTTTTTTTTGTCTTATATCAACGAATTACACCGCAAAAATTCTCAAAAAATGCTTAGATACTGATCCTGAATGTCTTACTTACGCTGACCTCGCTTATTTGGCTTATGGTCAAAAAGGAAAAATTTTCATTGGATTTATATTTTTAATGGATCTTTATAATGCAGCGTAAGTTTTTTTGTTTTCAAAATTTATTTCTTTATTTTAATTATTGACATCTATATAATACCGATATAATAAAGTGTCGCTTTGATGATCTTGGTTGGCGATTCACTCAAGATACTTTTCCCTCAAATGGATCTCACCCATCTGAAACTTATCTCATTTCTCGTTATTACTCCAATAACATGGTTGCCAATCAATTATCTTTCATATACTTCTCTCCTTGGAATTTTTACTGCGGCTTCATTAGCATTAGTTTTATTGATCGATGGTCTGACGAAATTTGATGCACCTGGAAGTCTATGGCAACCTATGAATACCCATCTTCTCCCTCCAAGTTGGATGGTTTTACCTTTATCCTTTGGTCTTATCAATTCTGCCTTCTCTGGTCATGCTGTTTTTCCTTCGTTATATCGAGATATGGCAAAACCTCTCTATTATAAAAAAACTGTGAATTCTAGTTATTTGATTACTGGTATTATTTATTTTACTGTCGCTGTTTGTGGGTATTTAATGTTTGGATCTGAGACGATGCAAGAGGTATTTGTTATTTTATTCTCGTTCTCTCGTTGATTACTTTCAAAAAAATTCCGTTTTTTTTTTTTTTTAATTATATAAATTTATTACTGACTAATTCATAGATTACTCAAAGCATAATGTCAACACAAGGATACAGTCTTTTTCTAAACTCTGTTGTAGTATGGTTGATTGTTATTAATCCACTCGCCAAATTTCCACTCACGTTAACTCCAATTAACTTAAGTATCGAAGTAGCGTTCTTTCGGACACAAATAGGTTCTTTCTTTAAATCAAAAATTGTACGGCACCTTTTCATTATTTTTTCAAGAACTTTAGTTAGTTTCTTAATTGTTGGAACTGCGATTGTTTTCCCTACCTTTGATCGTGCGATGGTAAGTATATATATATATCTTTATTTTTCGGAATTGTATCCTTACTAATTATTTTTATTTTTAAAAGTCACTTCTCGGCTCATGTTTCTCCTTTTTAATCTCTTCAATATTTCCTATTTTATGTCATTTAAAAATGTTTGGTGGATATGTTTCAAAAAAAAGAAATGATTTGGAATTTATTTTTATTAGTCACTTGTTCTGTTATGGCTATACTAGGAACTATTTGGACATTTTTACCAAGTGAGCTGTTGGGAGATGGTTAAATTAACGGTGATATAATAATCTATGTGATAAGCGTATGCTCTTTTCGAAATATTGTATGCTTTTTTTTTATGAACACTAAGGATGGATATTAATGAACTTAGGTAAAAAAAAAATAGGAAAAACAAAAAGATCTATTAAATACTAAAAGAACGCGTCCAAGCATCTTAGCATTCAATTGATCTCATAATTTTATAATTTGTGATGCTAATAACATACAAATCAATTCATTATATATATATATATATATATATATAAAAGATTTAATTAAATATATTAAAATTTTATAATTTTGTTTCATTTTTACTAAAACGCGTCTATGGTGTCAAAAACTAGAATATGCTAAAATCGATTAAAACTGGTTTTAACATGATCATTATTTTTTAGCTATGGCTAGATTGATAATTTTTATCAGCTTAGCTGGCTTCCGATTTTACACTAATGAATCAATTTTACAACTGTTCACAGATTAAATCCGTTGAGAAAATCTTTACCGAATGTTATTTGTTAACCTGGTCATCCAGGTAAATTATAAATTTCGGGTACTATAATAACAAAATTTACCCGAATCCAATTCCTATACCTTTGGTGGAAATTTTCATTAAGAAATTTATAGATTTAAAATCTAATAATGCATTATCAGTTATAAAAATGAATTAATTATTTTATTATAGAAACTGTCTTGTTATAAATCAAGGGAAATGATGTGCTTGTTAGCGTTTAAATTAAGGGTTGAGAAGGTTGTGAATAAATTTATAGTTGTCAAAATTACATAAAGATAAATCACAATGCCGAACTTACGAGCGAATATATAGCAAATGGCCCCAAGAAACCGAGTTTAAACCTGATTTGTAGCATTAATTAACAATGATTGTTGTATAACATTACGTACGGCAACTTACGTAAATCATTTTAACTGACGTAAGTTCATTTTTGAGAAGTGTAACTTATATAAGTAATCCGATTATTTCATAATAATTCGAAGAATCTCTCAACCATGCTCGTATTGTATATTAGGTTTTTAACAGTCTACATCGAAAACTTGGGAATTTACTCTAATATGAACCCTATACAGAGGCTAAGATGATTATTTATTTAAATAATCATTTAAAAAAAAGATGCAGTGACCTTTGAAACACCCGTGTCAGGGATTCATATACGTACAGTACGTACGTTCCCGTGATTGCCAATTTTATTCAATTGAATTTATACAGTTTAGAATACTTTTACAACCCTGATAGTAAAATTTCTTTTTTTTAACACAGTTATTAACACAGTAAAACGATGCATTTAAGTTTGTATCACTGGGTTTTTTTTTAAATTCGATCTATTTTTATCTATCTGCGGTAATTAGCGAAAAAGTTCATTAAAAAAGCATGTCTCAGAATCACAAACTTGATTACATTGTATATAGTCTCTATATTATGCTCTTGAGTTGAGCTGAACTGAGCATTGCGTTATTTAGAGGGTTTGGCCCAAATTAAGACGAAAATTTTAATTTCACGCATTATTTGTGATAATACGGTAAATTTAATTGGTTGCTTACAGTAGTAGTGCTCCGAAAGGGGTCAAAAAACCCGGGTAATCGACCCCAGAACATAAAACCCGAAAATTCATCACTGATTAAATCACCGGTAATCAATAGTAAAAGTGTAATGTGCACGAAAAGTATGTCAAAATCAGTGATAGTTAAATATCGAATGATTAGTTAATGAATGATGTAATTAATTTTAATAATCCCCTGTCTTACTATTTGTTATTCATTATAATTTCCCGCATGCCCAGGAATCTTTCGTGTGAAGATTCCCGGCCACGTGAAAACTATAATGAAGGTGGTCACGAATAATGTAAGGCAGGGATTATTCATTTATTTCCTGTGAGGAGTTTAAAATTACAACAGAGGATTCCACGATGATCCCATGATCATCGGGAACCTCTGCTGTAATTTTTAAGCTCCCAAGAAATAAATAATACTAATACCAGAGTAGAGATTTTCAAACCCGAGTTTGTTCGAACAACAGCTGTTTTCATAAATTCTGGGACACCTAAAAATTTTCTCGTTTCCCGGAATCTTTTCTGTTTCATCCGGTAAATTACCTAGCTATCTGGAAACTACATCGCTATTTAGAACCTTCAGTTCAGAGACAGCGATGTAGTTTCCGGAGAGTTAGGTATTTACCGGACAAAACTGAAAAGATTCCGGGAAACGAAAAAATTTTTAGGTGTCCCAGAATTTATGAAAACAGCTGTAACCAGTGTTCGAAATTTCAGATCCAAATACTGTTCTCATGAGAACAGTGCAATAGATGTAGGTGTTCTCAAGGTACGATTTTGTGTTCACGAAAAAAAAAAGAAAGAAAACCGTAAATTGGACTATCGCTATAGTTCGTTATAGTTGTATTATTGTTAAAAGATAATTCATATATTTACTAAATACGCATATTTATCGGTTTCTGACATGGTATGACAACGTTATACAGCTGTTTATTATATGGGATGAGTCAATAGAAATCAAGTAAATTTTTTATACCTTTAAACAAGAATAATTTAACGAAGCTTAACCAAATTTAATAAAAATTTTTATTATATCTTTAAGCAAGAATAACTTAACAATGCCTTAACCAAATTTAATAAAAAATTTTTTATATCTTTAAGCAAGAATAACTTAACAAAACCTTGACCAAATTTAATAAAGCATTTTTTAAATAATTGTTACAAACTTGTAGAATTAATTTAAAAAATTTATGTAGAATTAATTTAAAAAATTTATTAAGTTTAAGTTTTTTAAAGTCATTCTTGTTTAAAGTTTTAAAAAAATCTTATTAAAAAATATTTGCTTGGTTTAAATTGACTCAATTATAAGAACATATGGGCTAGGTGCTGAGAAAAGAGACCAAATTGACTATTTTTCAAAAGGTATTTTTTTTACACAATTCAATTTAGAATAAGATTAGAATCATTTTTTACTTAAGACTTGAAAGTAGTTGTATTAATAAAATTTTGCTGTATTGCTCTTTAAAGTTTGTATTTTCTTATAATTTATTATAAGATTTA